ATTTTCATAACAGATGGCGCGCTAATACATAAAGCTCATATTTACATATGTTGACGTAAAAATATATATATGAATAGAGGGAAATAAATATATTGAATATAAATATATGTTATAAAATAAATGGAGCTTCCAGGGTTAAGTTTCTTGTGTAACTTTTTATTATTCAAACTTTCAGACTTGTCAGTCCTTCAACAGGATTATCACGTTAACAACTTAATAATATTTATACTCTTCGGCCAGTTGGAGTTTTTATTTTCTCAACGTTTCGACAAAAATTTGGCTGGGCGGCAAGGAAACGTTGAGAAAATAAAAAACTCCAACTGACCGAAGTGTCTATTTTTTATATAAATATGAATGCCGGCCAGATAACCTCTATCTTTACGATAAATTAATAATAAACACAATTTTTATATACAAATTATTATATATGTGTGATAACCGAGGGTCAAACCAGTAGTAACCGAGAGGGACAGTCAGGGCGTGGAGAGTTTTCCAGTACCTCTCTGCACCTTGGAGGACCTTTAACAGTTCTCACAGAGTACAGGCAGTCGTGGTCGAGGCAGAGTGGAAAGCTTGGGAATGTCCACACACAAAAAACGAAGAGACACAGTTGTAGTAGGAAAGTTCCGTGAACAGATTGGAATCGAGCTAAGAGCAAGATGGAGATAGAAGAGTTCTTACTGTTTTACATGGTCGATGAGGTGGTCCTGGGTACAACCGACGAGGGTTCACGCTGATGATGAAGTGATTATTTTTTCGGCTAGGGCAGAGGCTTTTTATATCTTTGCCGAGTGAAGAGACATGCGGGAATTTGGACTTTGAACGGGTGCAAAGGGCGTGGGGCGTCTGCGGTATTCTACACCCTTTGGACCTGATGGCAACGGCCTGCCAAATTCCTCTTTAGGGTTGATTTCTATCTCGATCTCTTGCTTAGCTCAGCTCTTAATCTATTACATAGTTTTATTTATTCATCCTCGGTTTGTACAAAGTACATTACATATGGTGATGCTATGACACATGTCAATCATGCGTATAATCATTTACAGATGTGTTTCTATTATACAACATGAAAATATTGTTATAAGTTATATACAATATGGGGTTGTTGGTTTAAATTACCATATATATTTATTTTTATAAAATTAAATATTCCAATAATATATATTGGAGGTATAAAATTACGGATTATATAAAATACTAGCGGATGTGTACCCGGCTTCGCCCGGGTTTTATCCGAGTGAAAGTTTGCCTAACGAATATTATATATTATGAAGTATAATAAACAATGTTAAAGATTAGTTTTAATTATTAATCAAGATTGTGTGTGAATATGTGAAAAAGATGTAATATCGTTGTTGTTTTCTTGGCCGACTGTTTTACATATGGTGTTATCTTAAAATTGCTTGTTTTGAATATTTTTTTAGATTGAGTTGAATGAATTGCTGAATTTTTTTTGTATTTATATATAAATAAAATTAACTATGTTGATTTTTTTTTGTATTTAATCGATAACAGCGAATTTACGCATGTTAAAGTTAGGAAAAATATTTTGATACTAGCGGATGTGTACCCGGCTTCGCCCGGGTTTTATCCGAGTGAAAGTTTGCCTAACGAATATTATATATTATGAAGTATAATAAACAATGTTAAAGATTAGTTTTAATTATTAATCAAGATTGTGTGTGAATATGTGAGAAAGATGTAATATCGTTGTTGTTTTCTTGGCCGACTGTTTTACATATGGTGTTATCTTAAAATTGCTTGTTTTGAATATTTTTTTAGATTGAGTTGAATGAATTGCTGAATTTTTTTTTTGTATTTATATATAAATAAAATTAACTATTAACTATAAAATTAACTCCCAGACGACCAAAAGACAAGAATTAGAACAGAAATAACCCCGATCATTAAGAAATTGGAAACGCAAAACAAGACAAATTTAAATAGAGATGAAAGAAACACTATAAAGTCTTTAAAAGAAAACAAACAAATCATCATAACTCCTTCAGATAAAGGCAGAAATACCGTAATCATGGACGTAATAGAATACAACAACAAAATCGAACAGTTACTTCAGAATCAGGAAATATATCAACCACTGACCAAAAACCCTCTACCCAACTTCATAAAAGATTTCAATAGACATTTCAACAGAATAAAACGGCAATACAAACTAGATAGTAAAACCTTTGAAGCCTTCAAAGCAACAAACCAGAATCTTCCGAATTTATATGGTCTACCAAAAATCCACAAAGCTAATACCCCATTGCGTCCCATAATATCATACTCAGGCTCTCCCTTATACCCTATAGCGAAATATTTGTCGTCAATCATCTCACCATTCCAGAAAAAACTCCCTTACACAGTCCCCAATCCAGTAGCAGCTATTGAAACCATCAATAATATTCCAATTCCACATGACAGCTATATGGTATCCTTTGATATAGAATCTCTTTATACATCAATCCCGCATGATGAAGCTATCCTGGCACTTCAAGAATTCTTACACAACCTTCCAGAAATCATCCTTCCTATCCCTAAAGAAGCCCTTATAGATCTGATTGAACTTTGTCTAGCACTTAATTATTTTGGATATAAAAAAAAAAAAAAGACAGATATTTCAAACAAGAAAAAGGCTTACCAATGGGGAATCCTGTTTCATCAGCATTAGCTAACATCTACATGGACAAAATTGATAAAATAATTGCAGACACAGCACAACTACAAGTAATAATCTGGAAACACTATATTGATGATATACTATGCATCACAAAAGTTGATCTTTCCACCATTCTGAATTTTTTAAATAATCTCAAACCCTTTCTAAAATTCACCTTTGAAATAGAAGAAAATAACTCCCTACCGTTTCTAGACATACAACTAACCAGAAACCAAGATAGAATTGAAACTCGAATATACCGAAAACCAACCCATACTGGAAGCTATCTGAACTTTAATTCATTTGGTCCCATCCACCATAAAATTTCCGTGGTAAAAACTCTTTCAAAAAGACTAATCACACACTTTTCAACAAACAATAACGACACAAAAAAAGAAAGAACCAAAATATTTCAAGAACTACTTAGCAATAATTACCCTAAACCGTTTATCAAAAAGCATTTCTACAGACCGAGAATATCATCCACAAACAATAGACAGACTTCATCCCAAAACATTTTTTGCTCCCTACCATACAGCTATGGCTGTGAAAGAATAGCTAGAAAACTAAAATACTACAATATCACAACAAGATTCCAATCTACCTCGAATCTTAACAACATCCTCCGCCATCCTGATACAAAAAAGATCACTGAACCAAACAATAGAACCAATGTCATATACAAAATACCATGCAAGTCTTGCCAAGCCGTCTACATAGGAGAAACCGGTAAACAATTAATAGAAAGAATCAACCAGCACAAATCAGCCCTAAAACACCATAACCCGACCTCCTTATTAGTAGATCATGCTCTCATCAATAGCCACATTCCAGACTTTGAACAAACATCAATAATATACCAAGATATAAAAGAAAAGCACAGCAGGCTATTCTTGGAAAGTTGGAGTTCTTTGGAAGACAGAAATAGTATAAACCGAAAGATCGATATACCGGACATGTACACACAATTTAGATGCTCCTAGAATAGGAACCTCTATGTATATATGAACTTCAGTGAAATGTCTTCATTCATAATGCAATAGCCGAATATTTATTTTGTATATATAGATATTTACTTTTCACTCTATTTATTCATTTATTTTAATTAGTATTGTACGATATTTATTTGCATACATTACATTTTCATTTGGATGATTTTCGCCCGAGAGATTGTGAGACGCCCGTGTCTCAAGTGTAATGCGCGGCTTGCCGCGAGAGGGAATGAGATCCTTGAAAAAGATGGCCGTTTAGCCCATTGAAATATCGGAAATAAAAGATTATTTATTGAATCCAAGATGTGCCCTTTACGAACAAATATATATATATATTTATTTATATATATATACATCTTATATATATATTAAAAACAAAAGAAGACATATCCTGACCAGGCTCACATGAGAATTTCTAGATGACAGAGCGCCATCTTGTTCCGTGATATTTGGCCAACATGTTTTTGTTTTTTCACCTATACATATCACATGTATTTATTTATCAGTGCCTTATAGATTATGTTCAAATATAGAGGAAATATATAAGGTAAAATAAATTAAAACAATCACGATGACTTATATATATATAGATTTATGGGAAATGAAAGCCTTAAACATTAATGTTTCTTTTACACATAATACAAACCTTCACTGTCCTTATTGCGATGAAAAAATATTGGGAGAGCATGGTTCATCAGTGGTGTACCCTCCCAGTAGTTTCGCAAATTTAATTTACCAGACCGCTTCTTAGAGCTCTAACACTGTATTGGACGATTCTGCTTATATACAAAGTAGGATCAAAAAGTTCCCGAACTTTTTTAAAATTAATTATTTATTCATAGTATAGTAATTTAAACATAAAAATTTTCAAAATAAGAGCCTTGGTTATCTACACATTTTTTCCAGCGTGAAAAAAGCTGTTGAAATTCTAGTTCAAAGTCAATTTTTCTAAGCTTGTTTCGCTCCACCGTCGCATTTTCTATTACTTCTGATGACGATGAAAAGCGCCTCCCTTTTAACGTCATTTTTAGTTTTGGAAAGAAGAATAAATCACATGGGGCGATATCAGTGTTTGGCTGAATAGTCTTGAACAATAATGGCTCTATGAGCAGGGGCATTATCATGTTGCAATTTCCACTATTTTGATTCAAAGAGTTGGTTTCTTTTTCTTCTTATCGCATCACGAAGGCGCACAAGTATTTCTTTGTATGCCTGATTATTAAGAATAACCCCCTCTTTAATCTACTTATATAATTGCCTTATTCTGTCTGTGTGAAGTTCACTGTGTGAAGTTCACGGATAGATTTTGGTCACGTGTCAAGTTACGGTAAGTAAAAATTAAAAAAAGATGCCGAAACCAGGGATCGAACCAGGGACCTTTAGATCTTCAGTCTAACGCTCTCCCAACTGAGCTATTTCGGCTTATTTTAGTTATTTATATAGAAGCTTCTATCTTTATAATTATGTATATTTTCAAAAGGTCAATTCACATCTCTTCGCTGGAGACCATGGGAATACTGACTAATTCATTATGCTAACATAATTATAAATACAAGTATCAGAGTCATCAACAATTCTGTCATCGTTTGCTTTTGTGAATAGGATAAATACCCAAATAGGGCCATCAACATATATAGTCACGACCGTCTTTCCTCCTCAATTCCTCATGTCACGGATGCGCGCGCATCATCATTATGATCATTATCATTATCTAATGATAATAATAATTATTATTATTATTATATTATTATTATCAACATATATAGTCACGACCGTCTTTCCACCGTCAATCAATTCCTCAATTCCTCATGTCACGGATGCGCGCGCATCATCATTAGTATAATATAAAAAGCCAACAATGAAGAATGAATGTAAGATAAAAAGCCAACAATGAAGAGTAAATATAATATAAAAAGCCAACAATGAGGAATGAATGTAAGATAAAAAGCAAACAATAAAGAGTAAATGTAATAAAAAAAGCCAACAATGAAGAATAAATGTAAGATAAAAAGCCAACAATGAAGAGTAAATATAATATAAAAAGCCAACAATGAAGAATAAATGTAAGATAAAAAGCCAACAATGAAGAGTAAATATAATATAAAAAGCCAACAATGAAGAATGAATGTAAGATAAAAAGCCAACAATGAAGAGTAAATATAATATAAAAAGCCAACAATGAAGAATGAATGCAAGATAAAAAGCCAACAATGAAGAATAAATGTAAGATAAAATGCCAACAATGAAGAGTGAATGTAATATAAAAAGCCAACAATGAAGAATGAATGTAAGATAAAAAGCCAACAATGAAGAGTGAATGTAATATAAAAAGCCAACAATGAAGAATGAATGTAAGATAAAAAGCCAACAATGAAGAGTAAATATGATATATAAAGCCAACAATGAAGAATGAATGTAAGATAAAAAGCCAACAATGAAGAGTAAATGTAATATAAAAAGCCAACAATGAAGAATAAATGTAAGATAAAAAGCCAACAATGAAGAGTAAATATAATATAAAAAGCCAACAATGAAGAGTGAATGTAAGATAAAAAGCCAACAATGAAGAGTAAATGTAATATAAAAAGCCAACAATGAAGAATGAATGTAAGATAAAAAGCCAACAATGAAGAGTGAATGTAATATAAAGAGCCAACAATGAAGAATGAATGTAAGATATAAAGCCAACAATGAAGAGTGAATGTAAGATAAAAAGCCAACAATGAATAGTAAATGTAATATAAAAAGCCAACAATGAAGAATGAATATAAGATAAAAAGCCAACAATGAAGAGTAAATATAATATAAAAAGCCAACAATGAAGAGTGAATGTAAGATAAAAAGCCAACAATTAAGTGTAAATGTAATATAAAAAGCCAACAGAGTGAATGTAAGATAAAAACCCAACAATGAAGAGTGAATGTAATATAAAAAGCCAACCTTGAAGAATGAATGTAAGATAAAAAGCCAACAATGAAGAGTAAATATAATATAAAAAGCCAACAATGAGGAGTGAATGTAAGATAAAAAGCCAACAATGAAGAGTAAATGTAATATAAAAAGCCAACAGAGTGAATGTAAGATAAAAAGCCAACAATGAAGAGTAAATATAATATAAAAAGCCAACAATGAAGAGTAAATCTCTATATATATAAAAATGAATGTTTGTCTGTTTGTATGTTTGTTTGTATGTCCGGTATACAAATTCGCAGTAGTTCACTAATTCAAACCAAAATTTCCATACATAGGTAAAAATATACGGGGAAGACGATAGGCTATTTAAAAATATATATAAATCAATTATTAAAACTATATATTTTTAGTCAGAAAATGATGATGACGATATTGCTGTATCATGTTTGATTATCAGATACAAAATTATATCGGGAAAAATTCCAAAAAGCAGAGACCACGGGTGAAACCAGTTCATTATTTTGTACGCAGGAACAAAATTCTAACAGAAAAACATTCATTCGAGCAGAAAACAAAAGCCAGATCATCTTTCTATAAAAATATCGCTTCTCAGACACAAAGTTTGCAGCGGGACGTTTCACAAGTGTGACATCCACGGCGCCAATTTATAATTGTAACAAATAGTATTGGAATAAAAACATTCAATCGGGTAAAACACGGGCGTTGCCCGGGTCATTCGTCTAGTCAACATATATAGTCACGACCGTCTTTCCTCCTCAATCAATTCCTCATGTCACGGATGCGCGCGCATCATCATTATGATCATTATCATTATCTAATGATATTAATAATAATTATTATTATTATATTATTATTATTATTATCAACATATATAGTCACGACCGTCTTTCCTCATCGCTGTCCTCAATTCCTCATGTCACGGATGCGCGCGCATCATCATTATGATCATTATCATTATCTAATGATAATAATAATAATTATTATTATTATATTATTATTATTATTATTATTATCAACATATATAGTCACGACCGTCTTTCCTCAATTCCTCATGTCACGGATGCGCGCGCATCATCATTATGATCACTATCATTATCTAATGATAATAATAATAATTATTATTATTATATTATTATTATTATTAATATATATAGTCACGACCGTCTTTCCTCAATTCCTCATGTCACGGATGCGCGCGCATCATCATTATGATCATTATCTTCTATAGAAGCTTCTATCTTTATAATTATGTATATTTACAAAAAGTCAATTCGCTCGCGCCTCTAGCGGTGAAAATGAGGGGTAATACCAGCTGACCTAATGTACATGTAAAGTTTGGAGCGGGACGTTTCACAAGAGTGACATCCACGGCTCCAATTTATAATTGTAATAAATAGTATTGGTATAAAAACATTCAATCGGGTAAAACACGGGCGTTGCCCGGGTCATTCGTTAATATATAGTCACGACCGTCTTTCCTCAATTCCTCATCGCTGTCACGGATGCGCGCGCATCATCATTATGATCATTATCTTCTATAGAAGCTTCTATCTTTATAATTATGTATATTTACAAAAGTCAATTCGCTCGCGCCTCTAGCGGTGAAAATGAGGGGTAATACCAGCTGACCTAATGTACATGTAAAGTTTGGAGAGGGACGTTTCACAAGAGTGACATCCACGGCTCCAATTTATAATTGTAACAAATAGTATTGGAATAAAAACATTCAATCGGGTAAAACACGGGCGTTGCCCGGGTCATTCGGCTAGTTTCTTATAAGCATCGGTGGTTCAGTGGTAGAATGTTCGCCTACCACGCGGGCGGCCCGGGTTCGATTCCCGGCCGATGCATTTTTTTTCTTTTACAATTTTTAAAACTCATTTATATTATTATCCCTATATATCTTCTTCTATATATATATAAATGAATGTTTGTATGTTTGTTTGTATGTCCGGTATACAAATTCGCAGTAGTTCACTAATTCAAACCAAAATTTCCATACATAGGTAAAAAAATACGGGGAAGACGATAGGCTATTTTAAAAAATATATAAATCAATTATTAAAACTATATATTTTTAGTCAGAAAATGATGATGACGATATTGCTGTATCATGTTTGATTATCAGATACAAAATTATATCGGGAAAAATTCCAAAAAGCAGAGACCACGGGTGAAACCAGTTCATTATTTTGTACTCAGGAACAAAATTCTAATAGAAAAACATTCATTCGAGCAGAAAACAAAAGCCAGATCATCTTTCTATAAAAATATCGCTTCTCAGACACAAAGTTTGGAGCGGGACGTTTCACAAGAGTGACATCCACGGCGCCAATTTATAATTGTAACGAATAGTATTTGAATAAAAACATTTAGTCGGGTAAAACCCGGGCGTATTATATAATTGCCTTATTCTGTCTGTGTGAAGTTCACGGATAGATTTTGGTCAGAATGGTTAAAATAAAAAAACAATTGTTGCCTGTAAAGTCGGTTTTTCGGGCGAAGATTTTACGTGACAACGGTAGAATATTTATTGATATGAATATAATTAAATTGCACAATAGGAACAAGGAATTGAATGAAAATAAGAATTGCACAAATTTTAACTATAGAAATATATTTTGTTTACTTAAACATTGTACATGTAAACTTAAACTTAACTAATTCCTATTTGAGTGATTTTGTTGAGGATAGGACGATGATAGGAGAAATATGAAATGAAAGGAAGTGTTTCTGCTGTAATGTGTCTTGCGAAAGTCAAGTCGATAGTTGTTCCTTTTAAAGTAGTTGACTTAGAAACGTTTGATACGCAATCAAGATTATACGTATTTTTCATGAAATTAAGAAACGAGTTGTCAGGCTTTACGTTTTTGTTAAAATCACCACACAGAAGAATCGGTTCAAATTTTTGCTAAATAAATTTGAAATTAAATAAAATTTGTAATTGTAAATGATGAAGTTGAAAATTAAAACATTTACTTATATTAGATGTTAAAATTCTCGCTCAACACAGTTTAAATAAAGTTTTCTTATATCTGCCACTTTTTCTTAATATTTGTAATTTTAAATAATCAATTCGAAAATCAAAACATTTATTCAGATCGAAGGTTCAATTTTTTGCTAAATAAATTTGAAACTATTTAAAATTTGTAAAATAATAATTAATTAATTAATTAATTTTAAACTAATAATTTACTTAACACTATCAACATTTATCAATAGTATGACATAACCTATAAACTCAGTTTCTCAACTTTTGTGTCAATCTAACAATTAATCAATCAATCATAGTTTACGATAATGAAATATCAGTGTACAATTATTTACCTTTATTGTTGTAGTTGTTGTAAATGACGAATCTAAGCACTCCACATTTTCACTACAGACACAGCTGACGATACTTTAACCACACGTGTGAACTTGTATTATGACGCTTTCTTGTTTTTCCAACGCCAAGAACGTTCGAGAAAGACAAAGACAGAGACAAGCATGCGCCGATTCAATGCGCCTAATTCTCTAGCGCTGCGCGCGCAGCTGCGCGCGCAGCACTCTCGTTCGGTGACTCATCGTAACGTTACCGGGCGTTACACTTTTTCATAAGTGACTCCCAGCCGCAACCTAATTTAAGACGTTGTCACGTCAAAAGTGTCAAGGGATGGGAATCGATCCCACGACCTTCCGCTTACCGGGCAGATGCCATGACCACTAGGCCACATGACCCCAATTTATAATTGTAACAAATAGTATTTGAATCAAAATATTCAATCGGGTAAAACACGGGCGTTGCCCGGGTCATTCGGCTAGTCTACTTATATAATTGCCTTATTCTGTCTGTGTGAAGTTCACGGATAGATTTTGGTCAGAATGGATAAAATAAAAAAAAAGTGTCAAGGGATGGGAATCGAACCCACGACCTTCCGCTTACCGGGCAGATGCCATGACCACTAGGCTACCCTGGACATATTTTTCCGTTCATAAAATTGCTTTAGTAATTTTTAATTGTTATTTTCATTGCATATTTATGATATGGGTTCATTCAAAAAACTTTTACCGCAGTTTAGAATATACCAGGTCTATTAGTATGAAACGCGAAAATGGGCGCCAGAGGCCGCTGTGCAACTTTATTTGAGCCGACGGTGGCGCTGTTGTAGGCGTTTTGTTCTTTGACTCACGTGGCATCAGAATGCATGCAGTTTTAGAAAAATTCAAATCGTGAAAATTTTCTGGAGCCCGTGGAAAATGGCGATTTCCAAGCCAAAAAGTGCCCATTTGCGGGAAGTTTTGTTGTTCGTCTTCAACTGGAAGAAAAGTGCCACTGAAGCCCACCGAATGCCCGAGGAAGTTTACAGCGACCACGCTCTGAGCAAATCGCAGTGTTACAGGTGGTTTAAAAAATTCCAAAGTGGCGATTTTGAACTTGATAATGAACCACATGGAAAACCGCCCCGAAGTTCGAGAACGCTGAACTGCAAGCTTTGTTGGATGAAGACAGTACCCAAATGCAGGAGAAACTCGCAAAACAGCTCCAGGTGTCTCAAGGTGCTGTTTCTTCCAAATAACTTTATTAGGTGCCGCTCAAAAAGAGCAACCTAGATCATCATATTTACAATATACTGAGGGGGGTGGTTATGTACAGGGGTTCATTTACAATTATAATTTATAATGATGTCTTTGGGTCCGGATTCTCAGGTCCTTGGGGATATTTTTCTTGAGAAGGTTTTTTCGGGCTTGTTTGATATTCAAGGTGGGTTTGTTTTTCCTTTTTTTTTTCACTTTTCGTCATTCTGGCTTAATTGATGGAGAATTTGTCTAGGTTTCAAATTTCTTATTTTCCTTTTTCCGCATTTGTAGTTTGTGGCTTCCTTAAAGGTGGGATTTTCTAATTTTTCGGATTTTTCGTAAAATTTAAATGATTGTCTAATAATGTAGTCATTGATGTTTTCGATATTTAGATCGTTCCTGAGGATTGTGTTCCGAACAAACCAGGGTGGAGACATGATTTTTCTGATCATTTTATTTTCAAATACTTCTAGCTTTTTAAGGATGGTCTTATGTGCTGTCATAAAAATTGGGTGGCCGTATATGAGTATTGGTCTTATTATTGAAGTGTAAATGGTTCTTTTGCAATGAAGGGATAATTTGCTTTTTTGGTCCTAGAAGTAGGGATAGTCGGTGTTGGGCAGCTTTCGCCAAATTAATTCTGTTTTCGATGTGTTTTTTGAAGGTTAGGTGCTCATCTAGGGTCATCCCTAGGTATCGGATGTTCTCTTTCCATTTAATATTGTCTTCGAAGACAAAAAGTTCGTCTAAAGGTTTCTTAATTTTGTCTTTTTTTCTGGAAAAAATGATTGCTTCACTTTTTTGGGGGTTCATTGTGACTCGCCATTCCTTACACCAGAGCGTGGAAAAGATGCAGGCCTCTTGGAGTTTCATGTGGAGATTGTCGAAGTTATATGTTGAGGCTAAAATGGCGGTATCATCGGCAAATAGGTGTAAAGAGGTGTCTTCAATACGGGGGAAGTCGTCTATATATATGTCAAATAAGGTTGGTCCTGTGACTGACCCTTGGGGGACCCCGGCAAGGATGTTCCTAGCTGTTGAAAGTTCATTTTTGACTCGTACCTTGAAGGTTCTATTTGTTAAGAATTTTTGCGTTATTTTTATGATGTCTCCGGGAAGGTGCTTTTTGCACATTTTGTAGAGAAGGGCTTCGTGCCAGACTTTATCGAATGCTTTGGCGATATCGAAGAATACGGCTCCTGTTATTTGGCCTAGGTCCATGGCTTTTCTTATTTTTTCAGTGACAACTACTAGCTGGTGCAATGTTGAGTGTTTGGCTTGGTAGCCAAATTGTTCGGGTCTGAGTGGATCATTTTCTTCGAGGGATTTTCTGAGTCTTCTTAAAACAATTCTTTCGAATAGTTTTGAGATGGCAGGTAGCAGTGAGATGGGCCTGTAGCTTGTTGGTTCATGGATGGATTTTCCTTTTTTAAGTATGGGACAGATAATGGACGTTTTCCATCTGTCAGGGAAGTGGGCAAGCTGCAGTGATGCGTTAAATATTTCGGTTATTGATGCTAGTATATGATTAGGGAGCAGTTTGAGAGCTTCATTAGGTAATTCGTCGATTCCGGGAGCTTTTTTATTTGGTAGATATTCAATAATCGCTTTTATTTCACCAATGTTTGTTGGTTCTAGTCCTGTTTCTTTATTTTTTTTCATGTATGAATTCACACGTTTGATGTATGTACGAGTAGGTTTGGAGTGGGATGTATAGGGATTGGGGGTGAACTGTTTTTCATAGTTGTTGGCAAATGATTCAGCTGCTTATTCTGTGGTTAGTGTCTGCCCATTGTTTGTCTTCAGTGTTATTTCTTGTTTTTCAGAGTTGGATAATCGTTTGATGGCTTTCCATATGGTTTGGTCCGTGACTTTCAAGTTTTCGATAAAGTGGTCCCAGCTGGTGTTATCGTGCTCTCTTGTAAGTTTCTGTGATTCTCTCCGGGCCGTCATGTAGGCTGATTTATCTCGGGGGTCGCAAGTATTTTTCTTTTTTTTTCTTAGTCTGTTGGTGGATCGTATTTTTTCTTTAATGTGAGGTGGATATCTTCGTTCTAGTTCCGGGTCCTTATATTTTGTTAAATCTTTCAAATTTTGCTCCATTTGTTCTTCAATGTGTGTAATGGCCTCGTCTATTTTTGAAGATGTATCAAGGATCAGTTCAGGAGGTTCAGCGATTTCCATTTTGTACTTGAATAGGGCCCAATCTGTAATTTTTATTTTTGTATTTGAGTAGGAGATTCTGAAATCCTGTAGCACAAGTAGTACTGGGAGATGATCAGAGGTTAGTTCGTGCAGGACTTTAGAGTATACGCGCGCTTTGGGAGATGTTTTTGTGCACGGCGATATCAATGATGTCTGGAGGTGAGTCATGAGTAGGTTCGTCGGGGTAGCTCACATCTAGGTCCATAACGTTGATTGCGTTTTGGAGCCTTCTCCCGCTTGGGTTAGTGGTGGTGGAACCCCAGGCAGGATGTTTGCAGTTTAGGTCCCCTGCTATGATGGTCGGTGTGTCCGTTGAAAAAATGTTATAGATATCGGTTTGATCTAGATAGGTGTTTGGTGGTTTGTAGCACGAATACAGGTTCATATTTAACCCGTTTTTGTTTTTGATTGAAATTCCTGTTGTTTCCAGGCTTGAGGTGGTGGCATGAATAGGTGCATGGCTGTACTTCTTGTGGATGAAAATGGCAGTTCCACCACCTTGTCCGGTTAGTATGTCGTTGCGGAGGGTGATGAAGTTTTGAATCCTTATTTTATGGCACGGCTTAAGCCAGGTTTCTGACACTAGTGCGATGTCGATGTCGTGGTCGTTCAGGAATTCTGAGAATTGTTGTTTTTTGTTTCGGAGACTGCACGCGTTCCATTGAACGATTCGAAGGCTATTTTTATACATATTTTTGTTATTCATTTACATCTAAAGGTGTCTACAACGTTCTTCATGATGTTTTCTATTATTGCGGGGTCACTGAGAGCCTTTTTGATAGCGCTCTCTAGTTGGTTGACCTTAGTGGCTGAAGGAGGGTTGGGACGTTCTTTATTGACATATGGAGTTTTATTCTTGTTTTGAGTGGGTTGGGGAATTTCAGAAGGGTTTGGACCTGTAGGGTTGGATTTTTCTTTTTCTGTATTGGGGTTTGGTTTCTTATTAATTTGGGTTTGGGGCACTCTATTTATTTTTCTGTATAGTGGGCAACCACGCCAACTTGCTGTATGCTGACCCTGGCAGTTTGCACATTTAGGTGGGACTTCTTTTTCTTTGGCTCATTCGGATGTGAAATGATTTTCTCCACATTTTACACATTTGGGAGTTTCCCTGCATTCAAACTGAGAGTGCCCAAAGTTTTGGCACCTATGGCATTGTCCGGGGCCTTTGGGAGCCCTGTAAGCCTCGACGTTGCACTTCATGTCGCAGAGATCTGTGATATTGTAAATTTCTTTATTCCTTGCAGTCTTGGGAAGGGTTACCTGGATTAGTGGGAGCTCCTCCTTTGTTCTTGAATTTCGTAGTCTTGCGAGTTTAGACATCGCGAATCCCTTGTTTTCCAGATCTTCTTGTATTTCGGGGATAGTGATGCAGCGGTCGAGACCTCTGACGACGACTCTAAGGCACTTTTCGTCGTCTAGGATCTTGAAGTGGAAGGTGTAGTGGCGATCTTCCAACCACTTGGTAGCTATCCGGTAGTCCGATGTTGTGTGAGTCTGAACGTTGATGTATCGGCCTGATGTGTAAAATTCTGGCTTTTGTTTTGTACAATTGACAAGACCATCTCTAAGGCCTGACCATTCCTTTACTCCGCTTATTTTAATTGGTGGTATTCTGATCTTGGGGTTAGGGGTGGGATTGTTAGGTTTGTTATTCAATGTTTCGTTAGGTTTCTTTGATGGGTTAGAGTTTTTATGGTTTTGTTCGTGATTTGGCATTTTGTTTGGTGTCACTTCGATTTCCATTTCGACTGTTTTTGCTTCATTAGGTTTTTCAGGCTGTTTAGATTGTAATTTTGGTTCAGGATTACCTTGTGACCTTTGGTTGGAGCACCAGGTTGTTTTTTGCGTTGTTGTTTCTTTTGCGGCTACTGGTGATTTTTCTCTTGGGCGCTTCGCGGGGGCTTTTGTAGTATTGTGTTCTAGGTAGTTGGAGCGCAGTTCGCACAGTTCCC